TGCTCTCACAATCTCACATACGATATCCTCGCCGACAGCCGATGCTGCAACGGCAGGTGCTAAAGGGACTGCTATGCCCCTACCGATACTCCTACTACTCAACCGTCCTCTACTTCCTCGTGAAGACATCCTATAAAGTACAAAAGCAAACACCACGCTTAGTGCACAACACAATAGCCTTCTCCGAGGCACACTCCACTACTAAGTCACAAGACTCACTTAGTCACAAATATACATCTCTATTGCATATAATCATCTAAACATGTAAACACATAATCGAATCAAGTCCACAAAGATAGCCACTCATCCCGGAACTCTCAAGGAATTCCTACCAGAAACCACGTTGATCAGGCGTGTTTCCGAAAGGACCTCAAAGCAAGTTCACCGGCTATGAATACTGCCCAAGAGACTGAATCCCATGCTCACATAAATACAACACACAAGTCCTAACTTTCATGATATCTATATGCAACATCCTCACTATACGTAGTAAACCCACTGTGGTAAAAATCACTTCCCACGAGCCCAAAGTATTCAAACCCGGCTCGCTCTGATACCAAGTTGTCACGCCTCACTTTTTATTACTCGAAGCATTACCAATTTCATTTACTTAATTCCATTTCAGAGATAACATGCGGAAATAAACTCGTATATTCAACTCGTAGAAGTGAATAACATTGCTCTCATTCGTATGCAAATAAATACAACATGAGTATAATAAATAAATTGCCCTTGGGCTTACATCATTAACAAATCAAGAAGAAGGGTACAACCCTTTTACACATATGGCATTCTGCCAATACAAGAGAGTCCCCGTGGCCAACAAATAAGAAGATCCAAATCTTACAACACATTCGGCTCAACTCCTGAAAAAGATTCAACAACGTGGGATGAACATATAGTCCAGTAGGGATCTCAACATAGCCCTCAACAACAACAACATACAGATAGCTATGATCATGAATACCCAAACTCATACTAGAATAGTAACGTGACAGTTTATACAAAATATACATAAGTATGAACTTTTCTTGAAAACAACCATTTCAATCAATGCCATAGGCGATTCAATTTTCTTTTCCTTTTCATTAACTCCCGTTCCCAATCTTTCATAACATTAACAATACCTTAGGAAATAATTTCACTAAGCCCACTACTCTCTTCCATTTTCCAAACATACACAGATATCCCTTTTCAAAATATATATTTCTTTAAAAATATCAGTTCTCCTTCACACTTTCCAAAAGACAAAAAAGACATTTTGGCTTCTTCCCGATACAATCAAATCTATACATGCACCGTTATAAAAAAGGAGATAACAACTCACCAACATGCATAAGATAAAACAATGAGGCAACTCGGCCCTCCAAAACTGTAACTGACACAATCCATGATATTCCCAGACACACTAAAATATCAACAACAAAACTTTGCTCTACTAGTTATGTGCGTAGTAAGCCAAAGATACACCTATCACAACAACATGCCAGTTTACCAGGCGTTAGCCGGAAGGGTATGGTGCCTTATATTCTCAGCGCAGTCAATTCTCCAGGCGCTAGTTGGAAGGTCACGGTACCTCTGATTCTTAGCGCAAGGTATAACACCACCAACCCAACACAACAAGGCATAATCAACATGTATAACACATATACACAAGCCATCAAGATACAAGCAATGTGTTAAAGTATATGAACATATAACTACCTCCTTTCGAGCAAGAATGCATATATAATGTATCTCAACACTTCATCACATATGATGTTCCATCAATAATGGTATAATGCATACATGATAATTCAACACAACCGTGTCATCCTCCACCGATGACTAAGGACAAAACCTCTAGATGCAAATATTTAGTACATCTATTAAAGACTCAATTACTATGAGACCACAAACCCAACAACAACATTAACATGATAGTTAAAGCTACAATCCTTCACATGTGTGTGTTCAACACTCAAGAAACCACAATCCAATTTTCATTTGTATTTCAAAAATACTTTTCCCATTTTACAAAACAAGTTTCGTTTCCTTTTGTTTTCACAAAACCAACACCGTCCCTTTTATTGTCGCAAAACCAAATCCGTGGATAATAAAGCCATAACTCATATTAGTCCATTATCTTCATTTCAAACCTATTCCACAACCATGGTTAATCCCTTAGGCATTAACACCTTCACCCAACTCACAATAATAATAGAGATTTCCAACATAGGTTAACTACCATCCATTTTAATTTATCAATCAAAATATAATTTAGGGCTTTTTCTTCTATCAACTACAACATGCTAAGTTACACTCCAATTAGCCCAAAACAACCATCAATGGTAAAATAACTATCATCACACAACCAACCCTAGGTTCCTTCTCATGATTTCAAACAAATCCAACATGGATATGATTTTCTTGCAATACAAAATTACCACATGTCTATCTATAGACGAAGTATTGAAAAAGAATAAGGAAATCCCTACCTCAAATGTAGAACCCAAAGAGAAGAAGAGCTAAATTTGGAAGTGCTCCAAACACCAAATTTCTCGAATCAAAATGTAGCCCTCAATGATCAACACACTTCTTACAAAGGCTCAAGGTGAGGAAAACACTCCTACTAGATCAAACCCTAGAGAGAAGTTAGGTTTTAGAGTGAGAAGCTCTAAAAAAATCGATTTTGGGAAAGTAAGAGAGAGAAAGGAAATGTAAAAAGTGATTTAAAATAGCCTAGCTGCCAACTGATATACTACTCTCCCGCTCGAGCAGAGAACACAATGCTCGAGCGTCAAGGACAAAAAACTAGGTACGCTCGAGCGCCAAGACATAAGAATAAAGTACATCCGCTCGAGCGCGAAAACCAGTCCGCTCGAGCGTAGATTTCTCCCTCCCAGAACTTACACCAAAAAGTACTACCCGCTCGAGCGCCAGAGTACCCACTCGAGCGTGACCGCTCGAGCGTAAAGAAACCCGCTTGAGCGTAAAAATCACACCTGCAGAAGTTTTGCAGAGGCACGAAATACTGAAACTGTGAAAACCCCGCTCGAGCGCAAGAAGACCCGCTCGAGCGGATCATTCAAAAAAAATTGGACAACAATAATGGGAGCTAAAGCTCTACCAACCTGTAACAACCAAGCCCAACACATTCTAAAACTCAAACAAAAGAGTTTAAAGGTTGACAACACGATAGGTACAACTACCAACTCCACGGAACCGCGTTCGGAAAACAACAGAATAGTAAAGGGATAACCGGGATCGCTATAGTCGGAGTACAATCCTCTCTCTATATCCGTCTTTCTTCTTCGATCTCTTATTTATTTATTTATTTTTTTATATTTTCTCTGCTATACACTTCTGTTTTTCTGTTCTAATGGAGAAAATTTTCAAATTCTAAACAAGTAGTTTTCGAGTTTTAGTTACAGGCGGTGAAAATTGTAAAATTTTGCAATTTCAAATTTTTTTTGGTGCTGGAATGAATCATGGTTTAAAATTGTAAAATTTTACAATTTTAAATTTTTTTTTGGTACTGGAATGAATCATGGTTTAAAACTGTAAAATTTTGCAGTTTCAAATTATTTTTGGTACTGGAATGAATCATGGTTTAAAACTGTAAAATTTTACAATTTCATAACATTCTTTAGAACTATAAAATTTTATAGTTTCATAACATGTTTTTCAGTTTGATTAATAAGGATAAATACTTAATTAATTTTTGTTTTGAAACTGTAACATTTTACAGTTTCAAAACTTATTTTTCAGTTTGATTAATATTAGAGATTATTTGCTTAAACTTTATAAAAATTGAAAAATAGCATATGTTTTTTCCATTGTTGCTGTTTTTTGTCGTTTCATTTTTTTTCCTTTTAGTTTATCAATATTTAGCACATTTTATTATGTTTTTTCACTCTAATTTCTCCATTTATTCTTTTTTTTTTCTCTGGCAATATTCTAGAAATTCCTGTGAGTCTCCAGTAATGTTCTTAACGTCCAGTGAACGTTTTGAACATTCCGGCGACTTCCATTAACGTTCTTAACACTCCGGTGAACTTCCGGCAAAACTCCGGCGACTTCCCAGTGATGTTGAACATTCCGACGAGTCTCCAGCGTCCGTTTGACGGAAGTCCGACGGTAGTAAGATGCAACAGTGTCTGTAAATTTAAAAAAAAAAAATAGAATTTTTTGGTAACAATTAAAAATATATAGGATTAATTGGTACAAATATTTTGTTTGAAGATTAACTGGGTCTTAAACTTTGTACATGAGATTTATCAGTAAGTTCCCAAAACAAATTGCCAAGTGCCAAACATAAATCCAATCAAATGTTTGGCACGTGTCACAGTGACACTTCCGTTTGTTTTTAATGGGAGTCGAATGGAATGGATTAATAGGGAGGATAATATAAGGCTTATTTTTACAATTCGATTAAAATTAATGTTTTGATTTTTTTTAAAATTATATTATTATGTTTTTAATTTTTTTATACATTTTATTAAAAAATAGAAAATTAACTTCTAACTATCTGAAAACCAGCCTAGCGCTAAATTGTAAAAAATTAAAGTACACAGGCAACTTTAGAGGAACTAACAATTTACTTTCCAAAAACAAAAAAATAAAAAAATAGTGATGCATGCACCAATTACTATATGCATCATTTGCTATATACATTAGTGTATAAGTAGTGTTATGATATTATTATTAACTATATTTATTATATAAGTTATAAATATTTAAAATTATATAAATAATAAAATATCATCTATTAGTACATTAATTGATATATATAATATCAGCAATGTTATGTATCATGAAATTTTTTTTATGAAAATAATCATGAAAGTATTGTGACCCTTAAATTACACTTAAAATAAAACACCACGCATTAATTAAGATAATTCAAAAATTATAAATTTTTCATGATTATTTTCATGAAAAAAATTTCATGATGGCCAACTCTTTCCATATAATATTATTCATAAAAAAAAAAAAATAGAATAAAAAATTTACTCATCTCATCCCATCCCATCCCATCAGATTCCACGGTGCCTTTTCGTTCGTGTTCCTCGATCTTTCTTTCTTTCTTCAAAGCATATTATTAGAGTCGACAACAAGTGCTTTAGCAAGTTTTGCAATCTCCAGTGTTGTCTACAAAAGGTTTGATCTGTTCTCTCTCTCTCTCTCTCTCTCTCCCGCTCCCTTCATGGAACGCTTTTCAAATCTCATCTATGTTTTAGTGGATTGTTGCTGTAACTAACACCAGTTAATGTTTTCCATGAATTTCTTTAGTATTACTCCGCAACAAGAGTCTCTGCTTATTGGTATTGGATATTACTCTGCTTTTTCCGTGCTCCAGTTAGCTTCATAGATTTTGCTATTAATTTGACATGTAGAAATCGGGTTCATTCGGATTTGAGCAGTATGCCGAAATATTTTTTTATTTATTTTTTACCTAACTTTGATGCCTAGTGTAGACCAACCCATCTATTAAACTCCGAATTCATCTGAAAAGCTTGCTTTAAACCAGTGTTTGTGGACGATTTGGTGAAATTTGGAGGACTTTGTTGCGGAAAGGTACTGGTACTTCAGTCACTAAGAAGCTAGAAAAAAAATTCAAATGCGGAACAATGGATCAGTTGGAAATGGTGTCGCAATTGACGATCAATCGGATCTCGAGAAACAGGAAAAGGCAGAGTCTGGGGATCACACCTCATTGGCAGATTCAGCTGCCAATGACTGCGATCAAACTGTTCTCACCATTGTGGTCTCCAATGAGGGGTCCCCCTATCCTCTCAACATTGCTCCTGAATTAGTAGAAAAGTTTCCAAGGACTGTTGAGCCCACTAAGGAAGAAAACGACACGCACGAGGTTTCACCAAAGAAAGATCAACTATCAAGGAATGCAAGTTGTCATGAACAGTGCAGGTATGTAATTCTTATTAGATGAATTATGATGCATTTAATGTCATTTGTGCAACCCTAAGCTTAACTTAATAAACTCTTGTTCCCTTTTACTTGGATGAAATGCTATATACCTCTCATCTGATAGCTACTCAGTAATTTATGAGTATTTGCTTCAGTTTTCATGTTAGCTCATCACTAAGAATATATCTTTCAAACAGCAACTATGGTTTTTTGGGAATCAGCTGACTGTTAGCTCATCACTAAGAATATATCTTTCTAACAACTATGATGATTTCCAACTCAGTATTGGGGATTTTTCTCTTCATTGTTGTTGTTGTTAGTTCTGTCGTTTTTTTATGAGTATGAATGAACTATTTAGAAGCCAGTTAAAATGATTATGGCGCTGTTTGGGAAGTTTGTTTTTTGGGTTTTTTTTTTCACTAGAAGACAAATTGGTTACAAAACCAAAAAAAAGCAAATCCAAACAAAATATCACATCAAACTCCATAATTATTTCACTTTTTCTCTCACAAACATCACATCCAACCACAAAAAACCCAACTATTTTCCCAAATACAAAATTTTTGTTCTCCAATAATATCCTACAACTAAAAAAACTTACAAAAAAACCCACTTCCCAAACACCCACTATGTTTAATACAAACACTTGTCTATATTAGAGGACTACTGTTGGATTAGAGAGATGTTTTTATGTTTTGGAACATTCCAAATTATGGCTATCAAAAGATCTGGGTGTTTGATTTTTAATAACCAGGCTTATGTTAAGTTCTATGAAACCCAACATAAGCCAAATCTGCCAAAAGCCATCCTGGCAATATGGTGAAGGCATCTAGAGAGGTGGGTTTAAATTTCATTTAACTTATAGAATGAACAAGAAGGCATTAATTTTTTGGTTGAAAGAGAAGAATAAAGCTTGCATATCTCTTGTCTTGTGATTTTATTCAAAGTTTGTAAATGGGACATGAATAATCTTTGTCATTCTAAAGCCCATGAAATTTGTTAAGGTACAATTCTGAATGGCAGATCTATCTACTGGTTTAATTAAATGTTATGGAGAACAAAACGTGCATGCTCATATGATGCTTAACAGGTTAAGCCTGCCAAGCATGGGAAAGTGCTAAACACTGACTATCTATTTAGCATGGATATTATTATGGTCTTTTGGTTGCACGTGGTAGGAATTTGAATGGGAATGGTGTACAAGTCTCATTCATGGGACCTTCAGTTAAATAATTGTATAATTTATACTCCTATTTCTTATTGTCTTACTAGTTTTCATTTTCTAATATTTATTACTATATCTATACTATTGCATTAAGTGAACAACTTTGGTGGTCTTCTGAAGCTTTTTCTGTCCTTATGCCAACTTATTGAAATTAAAAAAAAGAAGAAAAAGATGGAGAAGAGATTGGGATTCAAATCTAAGATCATGGGTCTGATAAGAAGACTCTTACCAAATTACCAATTGAGTGACACACAATATATAGTGAATATTTTGTTTTGTTTTGTTTTCACTTGTTTGAATTGCACACACATCACGCGTGCCAGTAATTAATTTTTTTCATATGTTAGAAGTTGTCTGATACATACCTTTCTTCATGTTGGTTTTGCACATAATGTATTCGTTTAAAAAAATGTTTCAAGGCATATTTGTGTTGCATAATTTATGTTCCCAAACATTGTTACTAGTAAGATATTCACTTTTTCATGGCCAAGTTTGGGAGGGTCTGAGAAGTGTCACTGAAGTATATGAAAATTATGATAATTTATTTTTAAGGACACGTTGAAGAAGCGTTGGACATGTTTGTAGGAGTGTCTGAGAAGTCTTGGTATCCAACACGTATCTATGAACATGGACATGATTCGTGCTACTTAGCTGACTATGTAGACAGTATATTGTGGCTCATTTGCAATTGGCACCTAATGTTGATGAGGCATAGAGTATGAAGCTTCATTCTCAAGTAATTTTCTGAATGATATATTTAAATTAAAAAAAAAAATTATGAATCATATAAATGTACTTCGTCTATTACTACAAAAATTTTATTTCCATCATACACTTTATTTGTCTTGAAGTTACCATAGAAACTACATACTAGTTAATTATAGAACATGTATCGTAGCATATATTTATTTACCTGCACTTGGGTGTGGGAATGTGTTAATTGTCAAATACATCTAATTCTCATGACCAAGGACATGTAGACACTACTAAATTATAATTTGAAATTTTTTTTCTTCATTTATTTACGATATCATGGTGTTTGCATACTGACATAGAGGATTTTATGCATAGAATGAGATTCTTATGCATAATTTTAAAATGAACTCTTTGTAGTTAAACATATTTGTTGTGTGCATGTTTAACTAAGATGTTGGATGCATATCCCATACTCTAAGCCAATGTTTGGAGTTTTTGTTGTACTTTATTTGATAATCCCTTTTGACAAACACCCGTTTGATGTAATTCTTTTGATCTTTTGTATTTGAGAGTTTACATAGTTGCGAATCCAACCCAATGTCCAACCTAATGTGTGTCAAGCATCATTTTAGTAATCTTGCTTGTTTTTGAAAGACAACTTGACGATGGCTCGAGCAGTCAGACTAACACTGCTCGAGTGGTGTTAGTCTGTTTGAATGTACAAAGAGGTGATTTTCAAAATACAAGAAGGTTACATAAACTACTGGAAGTCCACGGTGCACTCGAATAGTCTAAGTCGTCTTGCAGTATCTTAAAGCTACATTTCAAATTACAAGGTTCTATATACCTACTTGAATGGTCCTTTGTGCGCTCGATCGGTCTAAGGCGGTTAGTTTAGTTATTACAACACGTTTGAGTTAGTTTTAGTGGTGGTTGTAAGTTTAGAGAAGAGAAAGAGATAGGGAATGAGTTAAACCTCATCCCTTTTTATATTGATAATAATGAGTAATTACAGAAGTGCCATAAGGCATAAATTATGGGCCAGCCCATTACACCAATTAACATCAATCAAGGGAAAATAAAATCAAATAAGAATAAAATATAAGTAATACTATTTCTTAGTCTAACACTCCCCCTCAAGCTACTGCGAAGATATCTCTCATGCTCAGCTTGTTGAAAATGCTATGAAATGGTTTGTTCCCTATTCCCTTGGTGAGAACATCTGCTAGTTGGTCTCCAGTCTTTACAAATGGAGTACATATGGTGTCACTAGTGAGTTTTTCCTTGATGAAGTGCCTATTAATCTCCACATGGTTGGTTCTGTCATGTTGAAATGGATTATGAGTTATGTTGATTGTGGCCTTGTTGTCACAGTACAATCTTATGGAATTAGTCTGATGTATCTCCAAGTCTCCCAATAATAGTCTAATCCATAGCAACTCATATACACCTTGTGCTATAGCCCTGGATTCTTCCTCAGCACTAGATCTAGCAACCGCATTCTGTTTCTTATTTCGCCTCGTGACTAAGTTGCCTTCAACAAATGTGCAATATTCAGAAGTTGATCGTCTATCAGCCACTGATCCAGCTCAATCTGCATCACTGAATGCCTCCACACTGAGATGTTTATGTTTTGAGAAATAGAGACCCTTTCCAAGAGAAGCCTTTAGGTATCTCAGGATTCTCATAAGTGGGAATTTCTAGGAGCATGCACAAATTGGCTGACCATGCTCACTGCAGTGGCAATGTTTGGACGTGAGTGGGATAAGTATATAAGCTTACCCACTAACTTCTAGTATCTCCCCTGTCCACCGGATCTCTCCTTGATCCTCACTTAGTTTCTAGCCCGGTTCTAGAGGTGTATCACATGGTTTGCTGCCAAGCATCTTAATTTTCTTTAGCAAGTCAAGTACATGCTTCCTCTGGCATATGAAGATGCCTTCCTTGGACTGAGCTAGTTCGATGCCCAAAAAATATTTTAAATTGCCTAAGTCTTTAATTTCAAACTCCTTGGCTAAGTATTCCTTCAACCGAGGGATCTTCTCAACATCATCTCCTGTCATAACAATATCATCAATATAGACAATAAGAGTTGTAATCTTACCAAATGAGGAGTGTTTCACAAATAAGGTGTGATCCGCTTGACTTCGCTTGAACCCATATCTCAGTATAGCTTGAGCAAACCTTTCAAACCAAGCCGTAGGGGATTACTTTAGCCCATAAAGTGACTTTCAGAGCCTGCACACTTTACCTTTGGACCTAGCATCTTCAAAACCAGGAGGAATATCCATATAGACCTCTTCGTCTAGGTCTCCATGAAAGAAGGCATTTTTCACATCAAACTGATAATCTACCCCATAAGTCTGAGTAAAACCCTTAGCAACCAGCTTTGTCTTGTATCGTTCTATGGAACTGTTTGCTTTGTGTTTCACAGTGTACACTCACTTACACCCAGTTAGATTTTTGCCTCTAGGTAACTCTACTAACTCCCACGTGCCATTCTTGCTGAAAACTCTCATCTCCTCCATCATGGCATGTTTCCATTTAGGAATGGAGGGAGCATCCTGAAAATTGTTATACAGACTCACAGAAGAAATTTTAGACGAAAAGGCTTTATATGAGGGAGATAAATTAGAATAAGAGACATGATTAGTAAGAGGATGCTGAGTACATGACCTAACCCCTTTCTTATTAGCAATGGAAACATCAAGATCGGAGAATTCAGGCATAGGAGCATTAGGATTAAAATTACCTAGACTCTCGGGAGAGGGGGATGACTCTGGACACTTATCTAGAAAAAAAGTTGTCAGTAGAGGAGGGAAAGTAGTCTCTTGCATCCAAGTTGCCCCTGGCATAAACTTTGCCTTCTTCATTTTCCACAACGATTGCTTAGCTCAACATCCTATATCTGTTCTATCACTGGTGGTAGTGGCACAAGAAACTCTTCACAACAAGGCTCCCCCTGAAGGGATGACTATGACAATGAGGAGCTCAGAAAGTAAGACTGAGACTCATAGAGACAAACCATTTGCGAGATGGAGGATGATAACATTTATAACCCTTTTGGGTGGCAGAGTAACCTAGGAAAACACACTTAAGAGACCGATGATTCAATTTACCACGAATGGATGAATGATTATGGACAAAACAAACACATCCAAAGGTCTTAGGGGGAATGGAGAACCTAGAAGACGTCGACCCGAACAAAACCTGAAGAGGGGTTCGTTTTTGAAGGACTTGGATGAGTAGATGATTAATCAAATAACGGCGGTGAGAATCGCTGCAGTCATGACCCAAACCCACCCCTATAGGTTAGGATCATAACCGCAGTAATCAGGAGATTACCTACGGCTTCATACCAAAATCAACTTATATTTAGTAAAATAATTAATTTTTGTCCAATGAGTTTTGTATACATGGCATAATAAAAACTTTTCTCATTCGTATAGTAACTCACACCATACTGTTTAATATAAACATACATATATCCAAGATCATTCAAAACAGTCTTATCAAAAACCAAGGTTATACATATAGATTTGGTTACACAAGACCACAAAAGCGAAATTCAAAAAACAAAAGGCTCATCTGTGAGGCGACCGTGGTTGACTCCAAAATCTCGGTACTCTTTTCATATTTCCACTAAGGCTGGGGCTGGAAATCCCGCTGCTTACCTACATACATATAAATACAGAGTGAGGTATAGCCCAGTGAATAATACTAGAGTAAAGAAGTTGTATGTATGAGATTCTCAAATAAGTAGTCCAAATTCATATGTAATCTATATAAATCATTGTCAAAGCAAAACGACCTCGGGTCTATTCCATTATGCTCAAGGCATATCAAGGGGGCAAAAAGGCCTTGGGTCCAACATTCTTATATTCATATTCATGCGCATATTCATATTCATGATCATGATCACATTCGTATTCATATTCAAAACGATTTTTGGTCCAATTAATTCCTTATTTAGAACGACCTTTGGCCCGTTTAACAATCATACAAAACGACCTTCGGTCCATTTCATGTATAAGATGACCTTTAGTCTATTTTGTTAAACATTCCAAACTGCCTTAGGCCCAATCCGTATCTTGTCAAATATACCAAACGGCCTTAGGCCCAATCCGTATCCTTGTCAAATATACCGAACGGCCTTTGGCCCATTTCGTATTCATACATCAATCACTTTACAGATTCCATTATGAATCAAACAGATAGAATACTTATTCATAGTACAAATTCATAAGTTCAGAAACTTACAACATAGGTAACATTTAGAAAATAATGCATACACAAAAATATCTTTACTAAGATATTACTCACAGCGTTTAGATGCTTGATTCGTCCTTGCAATTGACCTTACATAATTCACAACACATTGGGTCATAATATAATTCAATTCGTTCTTTAATTTGCTTAATTTTCTTAAGCTTCTCTCATGTTCTTTAATTCATTTGAAATGCCCAATGTATGCCTAAGAATGCTCAGAAATGGAGAATGAAAATTGGAACATAAAACAACTTTTCAAAATTTCTTAAAACAGGGCACTTCGTTAGAGCGCAACATTAGTTGCTTGAGCAGACCCCTTAGTCTGCAAAAGTACTGGATGCCTCATTTTTATACTCAAGCTCAATTTTGGTCGCTCGAGCCAATGCTAAAAAATGTGAGTGGTAGCTCAAGCGGTACTTTTGTCGCTCAAGCCAACCTCCTATGTCTGCAAAAGTACTGGTTGCTTGCATTCTACGCTCGCCGGTAACTTCTTTGCTTGAGCTGTGAGGTCGAGTTCTGAAATTTTCAAAATTTTGTTTGAGCTTCAAACCCACATTCAAGGGTCCAAATTCATGCATGATGCACTCAAATATGCAAGAACATTCTCAATTATATATATTTGAAGCTAACTTTAACCCATGATTCAAAATTTCATGAATTCAACCAAATTCAAACTTTGAACTACATGTAAGCAACACCCATGTTTGTATATCATGCATATGTAAGCTTCAAGACTTAAAATTAGACTTCAATACATGATAATTCTTATATACATGTGTCAATCAACCCTCAGTTCAACGTGATTAACATACTTTATGCTCAAATATGCAAAAATCATGGCAAACTCTTACATGCATGCATATATTAACTTCAAGGTCAACATATTCAACTTAATTCTTGTTCTTAGTCATATATTATGTTTGGATTCACATCATTATGAACCTAAACTTATGAATTTGAGCTCAATCACTTACTTAGAGCCTTCAATTCCTTCAATTCTAGTTAATTCTTGAATCTAGCTCTTGAATTTGCCAAGCTTGAGTTCAATTCTTCAAGAACAGGCTCCCTCTCTCTCTAATTCTCACTTTTCTCTCTCTATGGTGTATAAACTCAGCCAAGTAATGGAAATGAGCTCAATGTCTTGAGCCTAAGCACTAACTATACATATATATAGTGGTGATTAGTTTAATATCGATTTCTATTGTTTACTTTTTCCATTTCCACCGAAACTTTCATTTTTCTGCAGGTTGTTTGTTTGCTTATGCATTTTCTAACCAACAAATCTCCTTTATATAGGAGGGCCTAAGCACAGCAGCTAGACCACAAATGATTGCCATGTTTTATTCTCATCGACAACAGATCACCACAACTAAATGCTACCTTGCAACCTCTAATTAATTACATTTTGACCAACATACAAATAATAATTACTTTATCATCTTTTTGGTAATACACAATGACCCCTAATTCCAAATTAAATTACACTTTAAATATTAAATCTACTTTCTCGAACCACGATTAGTTGATATTAATGCGGTGTTAAAACTAATTAAACATTTGGGGTGTCACACGGTGTGTCACGCAGCTACGATGCCTATTTTGAAGTGTCCGTGCTTCATAGCTTACTTTTATATAAAATGAAATTATATGTAAAAAAGTTACTTCAAGAAATTTCGAAGGAATAATCATAAACAATAATCATGTATGCACAAGGTAAAATTGTTCTTGTATTTGCTGAATATAATTTTCCACTTTCTATTATTCTTTCAATAAGTTGCTTCCTTGGCTAGACTCTCCTACAAAATATAGATGGATTACGTCTTGGTTTTCGGTTTCAGACTTCTCTTGCAATTTCCACTTATTGTCAGAGACTCAGAAGTTTGTTAAACATCTATTTACGTCAATATTTTTTAGGCATCAATATTTTTACATCATAATATGGAAGGATAAAATCAATATGGCGTTCAGTGACTATCTATTTTTCATTTGTTTAATTTTTTTTTTGGAGTAGACAAACTATTGAATGTTATATTAAACTATGAAAGTAATAGTTCTATTACAATTGTGTTGGCAGAGATTTGTCAGGCAGGAAAGGAAGAAGATTTTGATTAGTGGATGCCAATGTCGAGGTGGGCTTGCTAAAGCACACCAGTCATGTATAAACACTTGGTTTCATACAAGAGGTTCAAATAAATGTGAGATATGCCAGTAAGTCATCCTCTAAATTGTTTCATATTCTTGGGTCAGTTTTTCATGGTATGAGACTGTAATTTAACAATTTTTTGTACAGACATGTAGCTGCAAATGTGCCACCTCCTGAGTTGCAGCCAAGTGTAGGTATTTTGTATCTTAGTGCAAACATTTAGAAGATAGAAATTAGTCTTAATAAGCCTTGAATATGCATCCAGTTGCAGCCCATTCAACGTAATTTTCCTTTGTAGTTTGTTCATTCATTTAATTTTGGGTATAGTGTGTCCAAAGCTAACTAGGGTTGAGTTCACAAGTCTAATGGTTTGACTCCGACTATCTGACTTCCCCATCCTAGCTGCGATGCTATAATTACACAAATATAACAAGTATAATAAATACCAGAAAATTTTCATACAAAAGTAGTGTTCTTCTATGTAATCAAGCTATATGTTATGGGTACGTTTGATAAAAACTGAGTTTCTGTTTCATTTCTTGCCTGGTTTCTTTGGAAGTCCCTCCAAAAACACAAATATCCACTGATTCATTATACGTTTATCCTCTCTTTCTCCTTTGTTCTTTTAGCTTGCTTGAGTGGTTGGCAGAACTGGATCACAGATATCAGCATTGAACTTCTTGCCAAGACATGACAGCGTATCTTATAATTAAAATTAGCTGTGTTTTAAACAGAATAAATTATTGTAATGTTGGAAAAACTTATGTAAAGTTGTGGGACAGTATTATTTTAATGTGGTAATGTAAAAGTCTTTCAGCAATTGATTATGACTTGTTACAGCTAATAAAAACACAAAAATGGCTCTAAGTAAATGATCTTACTGTGTTAGCTTTTCTTTGTTGTATCTCATGGATATGCCTGACTTCTGATTTTTTCAAATGTATAGCAGACAAGTTACTGGATTTGGAGGGTCGACCCTGCCTTTAGAGGGTCCACTATGGCACAAGAACGTGAAAGGGTAAGATGGTTTATGTAGCCAAGATACTACGATCTTTCTCATTCAAACTTGCTATTTTTAGTGAATTTCTCATTTTTAATATTACTAAATTAACAGGGTTGTTTTAGACCTCTTTGGGTGGCATTCTCAATCCTTATTGGTGGTCTTTTGTTGGATGTTCTAATATCCATTACCCTTGGTGTATCTGCATTGCCCGTTAACATCATAATTGGTACATACGTTTCACATTATTTTTTTACATTTGTATAGTGCCTGTGGGATTGAAGATCATGGAGTTTTGAACTTGCTAACGTGCCTCCTGATATTTAATTGTACAGGTGTTATCGTTGTGTTGGGACTTGGAACTGCTCTTCGTCTTGCCCTGGAATTCTGCCATGAATGGAGTATAAGACGAGTAGTGCAAAGGGTGGAAACGAATGTGAATCTCGGGTACCATCCTGCACTATAGGTAAATTTGTACATAAAAGAAAACATACAAATGCATACTTGATTTGTTTTGCAATGTTACAGATGTTCAATATATTTATTTGCTTTCTGAGGTGAGCATCATGCTCACCATGGTGCATTTGAACAACTCTGAAACACACATTGAGATATTTTTGAGTTTGCGATTAAATATTTTATATTCTGGAGTCATTCTTATAGCAACTTAAGAGTTAGATTTGATTAACAATTTATCCTTGTATTCTATGACACTGACGCAATGCTCTAATGTGAAGATCACTCGTGTAACTTTTGCACACGACGTGAAACTGGAATTGCTGAGCCGTCACAAGTGCTGAAATAACTTGTGCAAATTTGGGTGGTGCTAGTTTACTGTGTCCCAAGTAGGATAAGATGTTGTGCAAACCCTCTAATGAATGTGTTCTTATTAAGTGGTTCTCATGCCAAGATCTGGAGATACTTCTCAATCGCCAGACCCATATTATTTTTGCTTTTGCTCCCTCTATAATCAACCTTCATTTGGTGTCATACTTGTCTGTGAAGAGCGCAAATCATTTGTGTGCTCGTCACTGAAATGGGTGATCCCTCTTTTGGTGTTGTTCTCACTTTCCCTCGCTCTAAACCCTTGCTCCTCCGATGCATGGACTTTAACTGACCCTCACCTTGTTGAGCATTATGGTATATGGCAGAACTTAATTTCCAAATTATATTAAAACTTGCAACCAGTTTATTTATTTATATTTATTTTTTATTTTTAAGCATGGTAGCATTCGCTCTTTTTAGCTAATGGCTTAACAAAATAATAATTAAATGGTTCCAAAAAATAATGTAAATTATCAGCGCAAATGTGATTATTGATTGATTGTGATTGCTATTACTTAACCCGCAAAAAAAAAAGTGTGATTGTCAGCAATATATGCCTTCTAGGAAAATATGAAAATGTCGTTACAAAACAGGTTCTTAACAAAATTTGTGTCAAAAAGAGTGTTTGTTAATAACATTTTTCATGTAATATATTCACTAAACTTGGCCGTTTTCAGTGAATTTGCAAATATCCTATCTATACCCTCCCATTCTATTTGTAATTGAAGTCCAAATGAATGATATTAAATCTGTGTAGACTAATATTCAATAATAGTTGAGAGATTTGAGTGTATGTCAACTTAAATTACTAAAAACCAGTTGAATTATCTTTTGATTGATTTGTGTTCCTCTGTTTGAGTTGAAATATCATATTTTTAAGTGGATTTTTTTTTTTGGCAAAATTTTTATTGGTTTAGAATTTTCTGTACAAAATTTTTAGTTGAATGGTCTGTTATTTTGTAGTTATTTTCTATTTGGTTGAATGGTTTGGAAATGTGTTGTGGTTAATTGGACATCTAGGGTCATGGATTTTTGAAATGGGAAATTCTACGGTGCACACCCCTTTAACGGTGTGTATCATATGTATTTCGTTATTATTTTTGTGTTAAATATTATATATTTTTTTAATAGGAATTATAATAATTTGTAATTCAAAAATGAAAGTATGCATTTTTGTTTTGTGATATTATTATGCATTGTGTTTAGTAATGTTTGGATAAAAAAAAAAAATGGAACAGTATAAAAAAAAAATACTCAACACTATTACAAATTTTGTAATTTTATTTATGAATTACAAATTATCGTAACTCTTACACTGTGTTTGGTTGGAGGATTTGTGGAGGGATTTGGAATGGAAAATGGAAAATGTGGGTGAAACTAGGTGAAATTTAGGTATATTTTATTCACATTTCACCTATATTTTTCATTTCTCTTTTCAAATCTCTTCTCAAATCCTTCAACCAAACACAGTATTAAAAGAAAAATAAATTATCTTTATAACAAAAATACATAGGGTCTGTTTGGTAACGTTTACATTTTCAGTTTATATTTACAAAAATTTTATAAACTGGTTTTTGTTTATTTTTAGAAAAATATAAACTACAAACGCGTTTGGTAATTGACAAAATATTTAAAAAAATTTAAAAATATAAAAAAGAGTGAGAAA